GGGGAGTATTATCTCCGAGATTAGAATTCGAGCCTGCTTCTGCAGGTGGTGGCTGCTTGGATGTTTCGCTATACAACCCTCCTGTTTTGAGAAGATCTTGCTTCGCTAGCTCATATTCTTGTTCCATATTCAGAAAAACGTGGTAACCGTTTTTGCGGTCCGAAGCTGGAATACCCCCAAGAGGATCGATCAGAATTAGACGATCAAGCGATACCTCATTTTGTGAGGCTTGTAAGTGCTCTTTGACGACATTAGGATGTTCATCCGGTGATTGCGGAGGCAAGATCCCTGCAAATTCTCGGGTTAATGCCATGGCAACATCACTAGCGGTGATTGATACCGCCGTTTGAGTAGCATCCGTATGACCTATTGAAGGTAACACAGGGAGTACTCCTCGTCTCAATGGCGTCATCAATAGCTCCCTAAATGTGACATGCACCCTGCCTTTTAGATACGGTTGTTGCTCGACATCAGCTCGATTTTCTGCAATTCCTATCACATTGTCCACTAGCCGTGCTTCTGTCCCACTAGCATCAATGGCAGTCACAACACGAGCGGCTTGCTCTTTAACCCGATTCCTCCATTCGCATTTAGATACCTCCAGATGGTTATCGGTTCCATCCTCGCAATCCACCACAACAGTGCTGAACAGTCCAAGTCTACACAGTTTTGATAAAGTTTTCCCAATCCCATTCAATGTTTCGTCATCTAGCAGTTGTGGAGCTCTAATTTTCACCAAAGCAACATGTAATATGGAGCCGCCCAATGTGGTTTGTGAGACTACTGGCTGTTGTACAAACTTTGGACTTTCTGCCACGGCCCTCGTTGCTGTATAAATGCTTCCCAAGTTTGCGCCATTCTCATTTGTGTTCTGTTGAACAAATTCTTGGGGTTTCGGCTTTGCAGGAGAAGTATTTGGAGGTTTGAAGTTTTGGATATAAGAGCGAGCTTCGCGTTTAGTTGCGGACGAACCAAGGACCGATAGAAAGAAGTCCTAAAGGTTGTAAGTATTTCAGTTGAATGGTTTGATGGAAGATATCCCACTCTATCAATAGCTTTAGCCTTCTTCTTGGCTTGATGTTGAGTCGAAAGCTTTTCGCAAGTTTCTTTTGCCAAATCTTCCCTCACTTTACTAGCCGCCGATTGATTCGAAGTATATGTACGTCTGCTATCACTACCTTGAACAAGATAGTTCCCATGTTTTGTCAATGATTGAATCTTCGTAGAATGTTAGTAAGTGTCTCATCATGAGAATCACCATTTGACTCACGTTATGACCAGCCGCTTCTTTGCCCTTTTTCAAGGCGAAATTTTGCAATAACATATTGCATATTGATTTGAATTATTCAGAAGAAGTCATTGGAAAGCACTCTGCTGGGGAAAATATTAAAATCATAATTTTCCATGTGAAGGTAGATTGTTGAGAATAATAACAAAGAAAGAGAGGCATTTTCATTATATGAAGTAATAGATAATGTGTGCTTGTGCGAAAGTCGATTCACATCTCCACACCATTCATCCGATAACGCTTTTCGATAAACGCGAATTGGGGTAGGAAGCTCACACGTGAAAGTGTGAAAATGATGAAAAAACAATTAACTAGAACTACGAAGTAAACTTTCGTGTTTTGCTCATTTCAATTTGGCGTCATGAGTATTAAAGGATCTTATCTGTCGAAATGAAATCATAAGGCTGTGCAGGCGAGACAGGGTGTACAAATGATGCTTGGAATCGGATATTTAGTCTTGTATGATGTTTCCTGCTTGACGAGATGCTAGATAGCTATACGTAAAAACACCTAGGTAATTGCTTTGGGTAGAATAAGTAAAAGTGATATAGAGTCGGCTCTTTACCGGTATACGACGCTCCGCTACGACGCTCCGCTGGGCCACTGCCGTGGAGGCTCTTTCGCTTCGCTCCAGGGGAAAAAGTATGTTCAAACTGCATCCTAGGTAATGCTGCAGTAGATCGAACGCAGCATGCTCATATGCCGTTGCATGTCTAGTACTGGCAACTAGTAGTCTAAAATAGTCTGCCTCCACGGCATCATTTGCAAGTGTGCGTAAGGTACCGATACTGCAGATATCTTGGGCTTTACCTAGCACTTATGGAAAGTGTACATTCTTCTCGGATTTATTCATATTGCATTCAATTGCTCCTTCACAATATTCTACCAACACTCACGTTGCAAAGGGCCAGTAGACACACCGTTCTTCTAATAAAACAAGTACGAAGGACTGAAAGACCCGTATTCGAATCCCATGAGTGAGTAAAATCGGTGTTTATCCCAAATTCTTCCTTTGCTTTGTCAACAGTGGGACCAAATGGCTTCATTCCGACCTAGGTGATAATTGTAACTCCGATATAACATCACAATCTACCCAGTATGTAATCATACATCCAAGGTCGGGACCGGAAGGTTTGGTATGTATCTTCGTAAATGCTCATGAAAGACGTCTCGAATCTCAATTGAGAGAACATTTTCATACTTTATATTCCACACATTGTCGTAGTTACTTCGTAATTACTTCGTACATCCCCGTTTCTTTCAAACCACACGAAACTCATACAAAATGGGGCTTCAGTTGGCATGGATTGGTCTTGGAAACATGGGTAGAGTCAGTTTCTCAAAATCTACCTAGCCCGCAACTTCATTCAAGAAGTTGGAGCATAGTTAACACAAATATCACAGGGCATGTGCAAGAACCTCGTTGAGAAAGGAAACCTCGATAATCCCCTTATAATCTTCAACCGCACAACCAAGCGTGCAGAAGATCTTAGCTCTTCGCTCCCATCCGGCAAATCCACCGTCTCTTCCTCCATTACCGATCTCGTCTCAAAATCCGATATCATTTTTACATGCGTAGGAGATGATGCTGCTATTAACGAGACAATCGACGCTGGAATCAAGAATGGCGCCGCTGGAAAACTTTTCGTAGATTGTTCAACTGTTCATCCAGATACCACTGAAGATTTGGCTAAGAGGATTAGTGCTGCAGGAGGTGACTTTGTTGCATGCCCCGTTTTCGGTGCTCCTGCTATGGCTGAAAGTGGGCAACTCATCTGCGTTCTTGCTGGTCCAAAAGAGTCGGTAGAGAAGGTTATACCATACACTAAAGGAGTTATTGGTAAAGCCACTATTGATTTTGGTGGACAACCAGTTGGAAAAGCTTCACTTTTGAAGGTTGTTGGGAATACCTTTGTTTTCAATATGGTTGAGACTCTTTCCGAAGGACATGTTCTTGCAGAGAAATCCGGATTGGGTGTCGAGAACCTTCATCAATTCATCGAGACTTTATTCCCAGGTCCATATGCCGCTTACTCTGGTAGAATGTTGTCGGGCGATTATCACAAGAGAGAGGAACCATTATTTGCTGTCAATTTAGCTAGAAAAGATGCAAGACATGCTATGGCATTGGCTAAGAGCGCCGGTACTCAGATGAAGGCTCTCGAGGTTGCAGATGCTCATTTGGAGGGAGTTCAGAACCACAAGGGAGAAGCTGGTGATGTTGCTGCTATTTATGGAGCTGTTAGACAAGAGGCTGGCTTGAAATTCGAGAATTAGAGTGTGATATTTGAGTTGATATTGTAATCAATCAAATAAACATCGAAATCACAACATAGAAATTGTTTCTATATGTAACAATCGACTGAATGTCGTTAGTTTAATAATAATGTGCGAAGAAATGATAGGTAGATTTGATCGCATAATTTATTTATGTATAAGTTACTCGTAGTTAACTTACCAAAAAAGAAAGAGCTGACGCGCCAAGCCAAACTACTAGCGCGAGCAGTACCTAGAAACCTTGAATCAAGCTCCATCATTTAATCACCAACCTCGAATAAGACGACCGCCTCTAGCAACTCCAAACACTCCGAATCCAGACCTCACGACTTCATTATCACAAAATCAACATGGCAAACGGGTATGGCTCATTGTTCACTCGTGCAATCATATTCTGAAACGGCGAGATCACAATCACAGCTAACAAGATGGATTGAATAGTTGGAGTATCATCATCGGCCTCATTATTGTTGTGCTTGCTTCTGCGGCAGCATGGTTCCTTTCTCCCAAAGGCGAAAATCAAACGTATGTATCTATCGCGCCCCGATACAGTGTATCGAACTATTTGCGGATGAATAGATGGATATGGGCTGGATACGGGCAACTTTTTTGAAATATCGGTGGCTAATTGTTGGTATACAGAATCTGGCGCAGTTCCCTCATCCTCTCTTTCGCAAGTTGTTATCTTATGTGGGGTACGTATTCCCATCGCAATCGATCCAGATTACACGGAGAAGGGAATAGAAGGAATGGGCCTAAGAACGATACTAACATTGACAACAGCGATCACGTTCTTAGCACAATGGCATCCACTTATCGTACCCAGAAGAGGAGACTTAAGACCGGAGTATGCAAGACATATGAGTTGAGTGGCTATTACAGTTAGACGCGCATGATGGTGAAAGAGAATGAAGAAGAATGAGATGTACTATTTGGCGTTTATGGGATGGGATCGACTCTAATGGAGGAATGAAATGCGACTCGTGTATACTTATAGGAATTGATTGTGGAAATGGAAGCTTTGGTTATCAGGCACTGAATTGAGATTCCCCCTAGCCCGCCTCCACAGCAATGGCCTCCAGAGGTCCAAAGCAGCGATACTTGTTTCTCTTATTTGATTGTTTCTGATGCGGTCAAGCCCCAAGATTCCGGTTTCCTCGCTGCGCTCGAATGCCGGTTTGCAATATGATCCTGGGAGTATAGGCATACCTTGTGGGAATCTATACCTCTGCAGTAAAGCTGGAATTTCAGATGCTTAGTTCACTATGGCAAACGAAAATCTATGAGCATGTCGTCGTGCTGAGCAGTGATGCGCCATTCTCCCTGACATTCAACTATCAGCCCCGCAAATATCAATCATCTAGAGTGTTTGGGGTATATAGCATTCATATTCGTTTTTATCATAAATCTTCCCTCCATTCTTCACTCTTCTCAATCACCCTAAGCCCAACCTTCCACCCCATTCCCTGCCCAGTTCCACTATCGCCCAAAGCGCCTTTCCATCAGCCGCTACCCCTGAATCCCCAACGGTGTCAACTCCATCCAAGCCCACCGCCCAAAGTATCCCCCTCCCAACCATCCACCTACTAATCGCCCCAACCGTCGCCAATATCGCTGCAGTCCCATACCCACAATCCAGTAGGATTTTCAAAGCCTCCACGTTATTCGCAACAACAGCCCAACCTAAGCTTCTCGCCGCAGCCGGTACGTCATACTCCCATATTACCATCAAAATAGGGAACAATTTCGTAGAGGACGAGACTAGTAGTGCTGTAGATACGGAATTCGGACGGGTGTATTTTGGGAGGAGACCGAGGAGTACTAAAGGCGAAAGTGGCGAGGATGTGAGAAAGCGGATAGAGAGGTGAAAGCTTAGTGTTGAGAGGGCGCAGAGGATTAGAAAGAATACATATTGGAAGACAATGGGTTGAGCGGCTAGACGGAGGAAATTCGTATTGTCTGTTTCAACTGGAGCGGAGATGGGCGCGGAGGTTTGTTTTTCGATACGTGCCCATGTTAGGTAGACGTCAAAGAGAAGGAGAAGGACGCCGAGACGGATTATTGAAGGCTTAGAAGACAAATGTCAACATAAGATCTGTCTTTGTGTTAGGGAGAGGAAATATCATACGTCAAATTGATCATGTTCTCTCATTAAAGTATTATGCAACAAATGTCTATAAACCTTTCCGTCCCCAAAACTATTAGCCTTCCCCTCCCTCAAGTATACATATGTATGTGTGTGTGTGTGTGTAAACATCATAAGGTTAAGACGAGAGAAACCAACCTGTGGTTTAATCAAAACCAAATCAATAAACAAAACCACAAAATCATGCTCAACATATTTATCGCAAAATCGTCCACAATTCTTGCAAACGGTTAAGCGTACTCCATGACCAGTTGATCCTCCGGAATACTCGGTATAGAGTTGGGTAGTCGGATAGCGACACTCGATACAGATGGGCATTTCATATATCAGTGAGGAGAGAGGTGAATGGGAGAAGAATCCATATTGAGGATATATTGAATTGAGATTGTGAGTGAGATGGGAGGATGGGGGAACGCGAACGCGATGTGAAGGTGGTCTGTGCTGAAGCTTTTAACCCCCGCCCGCCGATGGGAATGGCTCGAGGATGAGGATGAGTATCTTTTTGTTTTGCCCGCTATGAAACTCTATGCAACAACCCCAACGTGACTGGTAGGAGGATACTACTACTTATTCAAAGTCGATTGAAGGTTCATCTTCTCGAAATGCTTCTTGAATACTTCTTACATACTTTGCTCACAAACTAACTTGGTCAACTAATCCTAATTTCATTCCATCTTTTGGTGCTTAAACTCAACTTGGATACCTACTTACTTACACACTCTCCAGAGCAATTGACAAAATGTTCGAAATCACCTCAAACGGCACCAAAAAGCGCAAGCTCAGTACTCAGTCTTGTGAGAGAGATGCTGCCCATTCTTGATTTGCCAAATGAGACTCTTCCATTGAAAGCTCCTGGAAGAAGTGTTACAAGTGTTGCTTAAGCGGCCCAACCTATCGGAAATACTCAGCCGGGCATGGAGTTTGTTCTTGCTGAATTGTCTAGATTGCGAGAGCAAGTAGTAAAGTTGGGAAATGGAAATACTGCAGGCTTGGAAACTGAATCGGGCTCGCCAGCTGTCGTCGACTTGACTGATGACGACGAGGTACTATCTCCCGTGAAACGAGAGCATGGGTCAAATGATTCGGATGTTGCAAACGATCTCGAGGATGTGTAAGTCAGAAAGCACCAGTTATAAAAGCACACGGGCTTGCTAGGTTGGTTAGCATGCCTGTACCTAAATGATAGAAGGTGTTAGGAGTGTACAGAATGTATCACAGGTAAGAGATAGTCCAAGTTCTTACCTCAAACATTCGCGTAGTCTACAATTGACTTCAAAAAGAATTCGCAACCAGCCATGATTGATACATATATCTGGTTTTAGAATACAGTGCAAATGCCCACAGTAGTGAGACGAATGCCTTTGACTCAGAGTTTGTATCTCCCTCCTCAACCACACACAAAATTCGAGTATCGTTTCTTGCGCGATAGGCCTGGAGGGTATCGCACCGCAGACGGATGGTACTCGTCAAATGGATCAAAAGGAGCGTTTGCCAACATTGGTCCTTACGGTTTGACGAACCGCCAATTTGACCCTCTTCTACCTTATCGTCCTGGTGTACATGGTGCTCAAATTTCGCCATACCTACCACCGAACAAGATAGGTCAAACATTTCCTCTTTTCATCAGCGATATTGGCGACCCACATTTCCATTATTATGGAACATACGAAGTTATGGTTTCTGATCGTCTTGGTCACAATGAAATGCTCGAGCTTCCAGAGAAAATCAAACGCCATTGGGCACGAAAGCTTGGCACAGGTTCTACTCATGGTTTGAAAGCTTCTTCGATCATCTACGCATTGAGAGATATATAGCCCAGAAAGGAATATGGATAGCGGAATGTGGAGAATGACAGCTACACCAATCAAGAGGGCAGTGAAATGGAACCAATCGACTCTGTGTCAAAAAGTATCACTGAAGAAGAGGCTCAGGTTATCACAGAGGGGGCAGTCATGGCAGCTTTAGATAGAGTATGTACATCCTTGGTAAAGGGTAAAGGAAATAACTGCTAAAAGAGATTCCGTAGCACGATTTGGATGATTCTCCAGGAGTTTCATTGTACTATGAATACCTCAAGTGCCTCGGCTACGATCTGGACTTATATCACACATTGATGACCAACATCAACGGGCTATGAAAATGCTTAACTCGTCATTGCTTTCACTGGCACTACATAACTTCATCCGACACTCTTGAGTGATCAATCTTACGTCCAATTGAATCAACGACCATCTCGAGTTTGACGTATAGCCTGCAATACTGAAGGTCTCAAGTTCAGAGTTGGCAGCCATACGATGTCAATCATGGATTGTGAAGGCTTGGATAGATGATACGAGAGCCTATATAAGGAGAGTGGTGAGTATGGTAGAGCTAGTAACGGGTTTGTATAATAGATAAGGCAAGATACTCTGTCCGTGTTAATGACTGATACCCAATATTCGAAAATCAAATTTCTGCAAATGCTTTTTCTTCTGTGGAAATCTCTTAGGTCAGACAAACATGATGATAAATTGTTCAGTGCAGGGCGAAACTGTGCCTGAATGATATTCAATAAGCCAATCATATAGACTAGCTTTCTAGTTTTTCACATTCAGTTTAGTTTATTTCCTGCCCCGTGGGTATGCAATCACAACGTCTCTTTCGTCTTACTCGACAATGAACGTGCAATGATATCACGCAGTGAGTAGTTCCTAGCGGCATTTCGAAAATTCGGAAAGGATCACCTAAGGTCGAATCTTTGAAAGAATATTGCGATCCGCAGTTTCAAGGGGCATGGAATAATCCTGAAGGCCATATGCCACAGTTCACCTCAACGCATGAAATTTTTGCAAAAGATAGTGCTATATCACTCTTTTTGAGTTCCTTGCTGAAATATGAGAGCAAGAGCTGGCCACCATTGAGCGAGCTTGTTAATTGAAACATTCGGATCATATAAAGAATGCATCTAAAAAGGTCAAAAGCAAATCGTATCTGTGGCAGTCTTTCTACTCAGCCAACACATTTGCTGACCCGCTCTAGGATGTATATTATACTTCAGTGCTGCACAATGCTTTCTTGAGAACATGGCGAAGAGTACAGGGTAAGAATCGCCTTATAATTTTATAGTTTTGATTGATTTGTTAGCACTCAACAGTCTATTAGAAGTTCAATATTTCCATATATGCACTAAAGCTCTCTCCGTTTACTCTTTCACATATCGAAATGAAAGGATCTAGTACGCCACCCAGGAACATTTTACCAGTCTGGGTATCGTGAACTGCAACCGTGGTAGCTGGTAAAGTATTCCCGTCATCTTCCATCATCTTAACCACATTCCAACCCCATCCTTCTCCCTCGCCCATCTCGCCTAATTTAATGATCCTAAATACTGCGCTTGGAATGTTGGCCTCTATATTTTGTGAGTCTTTGATTGCTTTATGCAAGGCAGGTACAGTGGCGGCGTAGATATCTCCATTCTTATCGACACTTATGTCATTTATCGGGTATGGGAGATTGATAGTATCAACATTTCGGAGTCGCTGTTCTGCTTCCAAGGAAAACACTTGGATCTGACCAGAAATAGAAGAAGGAACATAGAGTAAATTGTCATGGCCGAGTGCTATCCCATTCGGTACTTTGAGGTTTTTTGGAGACTTTGTAATACCACATTCTGTGGAGGGAGGCATACAATAACCAATGCTTCCACCTCCAAGAACGAGGTTTGAATATCCTCGCTAAAGATCGAAGATTAGCGTGTGTTTCGTGTTCAACTTTGAGATGACCTACCGAACTACCCTTTGAGCTAAAAGCATTCGTAAACATGAATAAATGCTCATCGACCCAAGCCACGTGCCTAGATGTTTCAATATCGATATTCGTGAAGGTTTGCTTATGGGTCATGGTTTTGCTTCCCAGTGTGGTTGTAAAGTACTCAATCGTACTATTCGAATTTGTCTGGAATTGGTTGACAGAATCTGCTTTTCCAGCTTCTTCGAAAGGACGATCATTGACGAGAACGATGTGCAACTGCTTATTGCTTTTTGAATCCACTCGGATGTCAAATCCATGAAGATTAAGTCTTCCATCGTTATTTATCCCTTGAAAGTTTTGTGTTTGGAGCCATGTCAATCGATTCTTGACCGGGCCAGCTCCACGTGTATCCAAGACGGCAATTCGATCAGACAAACTGCGGCCCGAGGAATTCAGATGATTCAAACTAAGGGGCTTAGTCTGTGAAGTCCGAAAGTCGAAGTATATAGTGCTGGAGACATACCTCAGAAACCACTCAGCTCGACCCCTTGTATCCGAACATGCCATATAAAGCATTCCACTTTCCTGGTGCAACCACATATCCGCACAACCAGCCAAACCTACATCGTCAACCTTCTCACACTCGACATCGAAGTTGAGGAAAGGTTCTAGAGTCCGATTGTATCCCAAGGTGCCAAGAATCAACGATTTGTAAATAATTTGATAGAATATGGTACCAACGACTACGCCGACCAGCGCTAGCCGGAAACCTATTCTTGCCATGAATCTCAAGTTTAAAAACATAGAGAACAAAAATTAAAACGGATGATGATGGGATGAATGTCCTCATAATATGTGGCCATTTCGCTCAGACGCAGGTTTGAAACCCGAAAATGTACTACGCTATGATCATGTTCGACCTGGACATCAACCCTCAAATTTGACAAAACTAAGTTGTCTAAGCGGAAACCAGAAAATACAACCGAGTGCTTCTAGAGTCACGAGACATTCATGTGATGTGCTTTACTGATTGAGGCCTAGCTGCGAACTGTGAGTTGATATGCTATGTCGTAGGTTGAGGAGACAATGCGATAGAATTGAAGCTTGAATTAACTTGAGTCCGCTCTTGAAGTCCAGTTGGTAAGGTTACATGATGCAAACAGAACTTGCGTTTCGGGAATTCAGGTCATGTTTATCAAGTCTACATTAGTCGGTTCAGTGTCGTTTATCCTAGCCATGAAGTAATTTATTCGCTACAAGGCAGATGTTAATGTTTCACTCCCTAGGTGGAAGAAGTTAAGGAAGATGGAAGACACTTGAAAGTGTCGGTTTGGCATGGCAAGGTGGGATATGATATGGCCAAATTATCCGTCACGTGATACTCTTGTATAAGCCCGACCTCCTCTTTTTCTACCAGGAACAGATATCAGCATCTACTCTTGACCAGATTGACCAGATCCCCCTCATGAACTTATATGGTTTGCGTCTTCTCAATGCCCTTCAAGATTGCCAGGATTTTTAAGAAAAGGTCCCCGCAAGTTCTAGTCGTAGGTGAAACCATAGTAAAAATAACAGATATTTTTTAGCACTGGATATAAAAATCTGGTACTTCCTCTTGAAGAGGGTTAGGGGGGTCCCTACATTGTTTGAATGGGATTAGGAGGTGGAATAGGGACATGGCTGGGGAATAGTCGAGCTGGATGTTCTGGTTACTGGTCTTTGGTACCAGTCCGGGTTTTCAAGGGTTAATATCAGTGTTGAGGTCAGGATATAGTATGATGGTTCAATGCTCGAGCTACTGAAAGAAGCTGACACTTTTGATAAAATGTAAGATTACCTCACTCAAAAAACTGAATATACCTAGGGAACCATAGCTAGCTCTAACCCCTGAGACCATTTCGCGTAATATCAACAAAACTTCAACCATGCCATGCTCCTACAGCTTCGCAAGCTCTATGCGCAAGAATATTTGACTCTGAAAGCAAATTCGGCGAACTCATCAATCATATTTGGCCATCGATAGAAGATATAAGCCAATATACAATCCTAGCACCAAACAAAAGCAGCGCTGCTTTTTCGCATCTGCACTTGCGGGGAGCCCCTGAGCCTCTTACCTAGTCCGACCCGCAAACTTACCCCAGCTTTTACAATTTGATTTTCATGTGAAGAGGAACATGATGAGTGTGTCATCGAATGCTTTCGCTGCTTTTAAATAGATTTGACTTTCCCCCACGCTTAATGACTACTCCGTACATCTGTATATAACCCTGGAAGAAAACTCATACCATAAATTAATATGCATAGCATGAATTGCATAGAACCTGTAGATCATGATATGGAATCACGAGCACATGAAAAGGAATCTATAAAATCCAAAGCTTGATCAACATGATGCCCACCAATAGACAAAATCTTCCAGGGGCAGTTAAGTAAATTTAAGCCCTAGACACGCCTGGTACCTCGGCCGATGTTGCTCCAATCTTCAAGCTTCCAAGCTTACAGCTATAGTATCTACTTTAGCGACACTAATATGCATATGATGGGATGTAAATATCCCGGATGGATAAAATAGATAAGATATGGAATCAATAGCGATCGCAATATTCTTCAAGATATGGTTTTGCGTCCTTGAATATATCCACATGAAAGGTATTGGTAAAAAGCTTCATCCGGTTCCGCTTGGAATTTTGCAAATTTCAATAACAATCAATACAATTCGTGAATATTTATCTATCATGCGACGCAGCCGTCTAAGTTTTGCTTGTTTATTCATTGTCATAGCCGGAATACTTTGGCTGTCATATTCGACAATAAGAGAAACATATGATCGCGCGAAATTGAATTGGGCGGCACAAAAAGGAGATAACAAACTCTTTCATAAGCCGGACGATGGAGTCATGTCGAATCCAAACTCAATCATTCCACCAGCTGAAGTACCAATAGCAGCAGAGGTTCCCCTAAACCTCAACTTCCCACCACAAGCTCCCCCTTCTCCTCCCGATGCCTCAACTTCTACCTTAGAAAGTAGCTCCGCATTCGACGACACAAAATATCCCTTCCAAGATGACCTCTCCCTTCCTCTTCCAGCTGTCGATCTCAAGACTCTCGCAGATAAATGGCCTCACAACTATGACCCCGCTATGCCAGTGGGTTCAAAATTCGCCTACGCAACTTTCATGAATACACATAACCCCTCAATTCGCGACCCCTATTTCATGGCCGTCCAATCACTCATTCATCGCGTTCTTTGGCGATCATCTTCCAAAACTCATTCTTATCCATTCATCGCATTTGTCGCTTCCTATGTTACTCAAGAACAGAGACAGTTACTTGCGGGTGCAGGAGCTATTGTCAGAGAATTGGGTCCATTGGATTGGAATCCCAGTAGAAAGGATTTGGCTGATGGAGAAGACAAACCAATCTATTCGCGATGGAAAGATACCTTTTCCAAACTACACATGTGGGCACAGACAGATTTCGATCGGATACTGTTTCTAGACGCGGATGCTTTTCCGTTGGAAAATATCGATGAGATGTTTGATTTGGTTGCTCCCAAAGCTTGCAATGCCCTCAAGCAAGAACCAAGTGATCTTTTCCCTGACGGATCAGCGAGTTGTAATGGTGAAGAATTCATCTTTTCGGGAGTACCTCAACTTCCTGGCATTCCGGTGGAGATCAATGTAGGAGCGATGGTGTTTACACCAAGTCAACCGATCTATAATAGGTTTTTACAAAATTATCAGAAATACAATATGTATAACACGAATATGGCAGATCAAGCATTCTTTGCCTGGCAATTTAGACAAGATGGCGCGTTTCCGGTGACACCCTTGGAGAGGCAATGGGGTGGATTCTTTCCCCATGAAGAAGATAAAGGGAAATTGAAGGTGGTTCATGAGAAATTGTGGGCTGCGCAAGGGTGGCTACTGGAAGAGTGGTTGGATGGTTGGAGAGAAATGCTGGAATGGTATGAAGGGAGTGGGTTTGAGGGGGAAAGGAATAAGGATGAGTTTTTCAAACCAAAGTTGGGAAAGCATTTGGGGAATGGAGAGATGTTGTAGGGCTCGTTGAGGTTATCTCTCATGTGAAATTTTGAGGTGATCAGTCAAAATGAGTTGGGTGTACATATTTTAGCCGTTATGATGCTATACCTTCTTGATATGCGAAGAAGATTTTGAGTGGCTTGTCTTTATATGTCCAATATATTCAACTAGACTGTTACTTCAAAGATTCATCATCCTACCTTTATCTCTATGCGTTAAATGCATGGATTGCAGAACTAATAGATATGAGAGAAGACACTCGACCGGCTTGATTATTTGACATGTAGTCGTGCTAGCGACTGCTTTATATAGGGCAGAGATCAATTAATGATAGCTATATGACCTGTTTACTGATACATCCTCCCAACACCCAATTACCACCTATACACATACGTTGATTGCAGGCAATAGTTGCCATCGTACATTACAACTTAGGCTTAATTTCCATCATGAAATTCTTATATACCCCTTTATCAGCTCCGATTGACGGATTCCTCATCCAATCATAAAGAAAAAGAAAAATGTCTTCCATCTCGTATTACACCAACCCATTCAACTATCATGTACCCATTCAACACTGTTCAACCTTCATCTAACCACCAGACGTCGCCCTCACAACTGTTTTGTGCCCTATGTCCAGTTCTTTCGTATCCGTCCACAGCCTCATCTCCCCCAGGCTCTGAAGCTATCACGCCATCCCAATCCCCGTACACACCATCAGAATTCATTTGTACATCACGTTCGCCTAGTAGTTTTGATGCACTCCGAGCGTAGGGGTCAGCATCAATATCATTCGACATATTGTTCCAGTCAATTTCGTCAGAGGCATCAACAAAATTGTTGTCGTCTGCGCCCTCTACATACCCCTCATCGTACTCTAGTCCTGTATCCATATTTATATCCGAAACTAGAGGCGCCGTCGTTTCATTATATCCTGAATCAGATGAATGGTGAGAATCGGATGTGGGGAAAACAGACGATTCTACAAATTCTTTGTCCTTTTCATCTGTTGAAGTTTCTTCTTCATCATCTTCCTCATCGGTCTCCCATGTGATCTCGTCTTTATCTTGATTGATATCAACGTCGATATCAAAAGCCACTTCTTCCGGTGTTAAATTACTTCCCCCATTACCCTGAGAAGCGAGATCCTCAATTCTAAGCCCTTGTGCCAGTCCTGGATTTTTCTCAACTTCTTCCATCAATGCCTCTTCCAAATCATTTGCCAGGTTTGGTGGGGCGCCCAGTCCCGCGGCGTCTTCAGTCCCGGTCGGTGTGTCCTGATCGGAGAATGGCTGGCTTTGTGAGAGAGGAACAGTGGGGGATGTGAAAGGTGGAATTACACCTTCGCTTAGAGTTGAGTTTGGAAGAGCAGAGCTCGTATTTGTGGGGGAAAATAAAGTGGAATCGTGAGGTGGATGAATGAATCCATGGTGCGGATGATGTTCGTGATGATGACGATGATGTCTATTATCGGTGGAAATGGATTTCGGCAAATTTCTGGAGCGGGAATGGTTCGGTTGAGAAGGATCAGTAGGGGTATTGCCTGGTACTTTAAGCTTTGGTATCTTAGAGAGGCGATCAGAAGAGCTTTGAGCTATTTTGCGTTTGGGTGAACTGGAGCTGGGATTTGGGTTGATGTGAGATGTCATTGCGTGTCTGTTTTTGTGAAGTGACTTGAAGCTTCGAACGGATGACCTGTGCGACTCAAGTTTTTGCGAATGTGTGTGTGATTTGGTTGAATGCATGTGTTCGAACGGGAGATTGATTACAAAATACGTGGATTAAAATGCTGTTTATAGATTGACTTGTTGCGGTGAACGTAGACACAGATGTAGAATGTAGGTAGAGGTTTGAAAGCTGCCATTGAATGATAATCGAAATGAAGTCAAGGTGGAGAGCTACGAGTGAAGGCAGAACAAAAAAATGGATAACAAAGAGAATGATTGGTAAAGCTGAGTTCAGTACCCCTCATAACACGTGTGAAAGAGTATGTGATTTTTAAGGCAGGCTACTCGCCTCGATTACCAGAAGGGATGGAACATTCGATGGTAACGGTTACTGGAATCTGGCTCTTTACAACAAAGAAATGTTCGACAACAACGATGCGCGGAAATAGATTCCCGGAATGAAGGTGGACAAAGGGGAGATTCACGAGTTCTGGATCGAACTTATTCTTGGGATATCCACTTATTCTTTGTTTGACCTAAACTTGGCATGAGATATAGTTGTTTGATCACAGCCTAAGTCAATAATAGGCATAAGAGTATGATATCAATAAATATCATTCAGAAAGCTAAATAAGCTATGTCTTGGTACCAAAGGAGAAATTCCAGATATCCATGAAATCCAAAACGCCATCGTATGCAAAATCATGCCAACAGCGTCATCCTAACACCTGATCCCAAATATTCGTTGCCGTAAAAGTATGTAATAGAATAGGTAGGAGCAATTCAACGAACATCGATCAAATCAAGTAATCCCCATAACAAGTTTATTGCCCAATGCTCGCACCAATACTAGACAGGTACTGGCACCTCGCCATCTGTACATCTGGTATAGTTTCCATTGTAACGTTTGCAGTCGCCGTCTCCGTAGCGTTCTCGGCTTGAAAAAGTATTCTCTGATATTTACTAGTCTTTAATTGACCCCATCTGGGTGCACTTCTGAGCTTATATGTATTAGGGTCTTTGCTCCTGATAAAGCTAGTCCAGTATGCTTGAATGGATGGTATGAGAGCAGAATCTGGTGGTCCACTGCTACCCCAAATGGAACCTGATTCGGCAGTATGCGTAACACCATACCCACTGGCAGCATTTTTAGATGATAGAACGTCCCAATGATAATTCCAATTTCCAATTGATGGGGCGTAGAAGTCATGAGAGCCGGATAGGTAAATTCCGGGACAATTGTAGCGCATCTCACCATAAGCAAGAGCTGCTGCACTCCAGTATGTACCAGCGTTTGGATATTGAGGTCCTTGATGGTAATACTCATGGATGTTACTTAGTTGATCATCAGTAAGTTTGACGAAATTATCTTTTAAAAATTTGGACATTTCGGCGCTGGAGTTAATGGACTGAGGAGTAAATATTGTGCCCTCGTTTGTGTCGTCACTAGAATGAAGAAGATCTTTGTTAGTCTTTTTGGCATACATGAGCAACAATGAAGAAGGCATACCCAAATATGGCAGGCAGTTGAATATATTGCCCTGTGGCAAATAACTTGTAGGTATAATCAGGAGTGAAATCTCCGTCAATAACATTAGACCACATGAAGGCCGGATCACCCCCTGCACCACCTGGTGTCGGAACGTTGATATTGTTTTTGGCAAGAATGCTGATATCCAATCCCCTCAAACAAGCTAGTGTGTCACTTTGCCCAGCACAACCAGTTCGTTGAACTAAACCATCGTACTGGTATTGTGACTCGTCTACCGTGAGTTGAGCACCGAAAGACTGGCTTTCAGCCGCACTAGCATGGAAGAGTCCATCATCGCGACCTCCATATGCAGAAAGCTGAAGATCCACAGAAGCCGCACCCGCACTCGCTCCTCCAATTGTTACATGTGATTTATTACCTCCAAACTGTTACATATTAATATCATATGCTATGATAGACTTATTAAGCCCAAACACTAAGAACTTACTTGTTCAATGTTCTTCTGAACCCAATCAAGTAGGAATCGTTGATCTTTCAGTCCAACGTTTGTATCACCATTCGCCACAACCTCCTTGCTGGTCAAGAAACCCCAAGGACCAACACGATAATTGAACGTGACTACTACAATGTCGTGGTCACTCGCTGCAATCAGGCTAGTCGCATTCAAGTTTGGGCTAGCAAGAGTATTGAAGCCACCACCCTGAAAGTAAACAAAGACAGGGTGTAGTTTGCTAGCATCGGTGGGTGCATAGATGTCCACGAAAAGACAATCCTCGCTTGTTTTGGATGAAAGCGAAGTCGAAGGTGAGGAGTGACAGACTCCACCACGCTGTAATTATCAAGTCAGTATTATTGAATGGATGGAGTGGGCAAAGTGCACACCTTGTTTGCTATTTGCAAAGTATCATTTACAGCGGGACTTTGAGGGGCTCGAAAACGCAGATCTCCTAAAGGAGCAGCGGCATATCGTAGTCCAAGCCACTGAGTGACGCCATTACCATTATTGGTTCCCAAATATTTTGAGTATCCTAGATCAACAGTTGTGTTGATAGATGGTGTCGGTGCTGGAGCTGCAGATGAGCAGGCAGCAAGCGTCAGGAATATCAAAGTATTAAACATTTTCCAATTTTACAAACAGTTTCTTTACTTGGATTGGAATGAAATCTGGGACTGGACGGAAGAGGGATATATTTTTGGTAAAGGATTCGATGTTTATATGCATATTGCGGAGACCTTCTGAATCACTGCATGAATATTAGCCCGATGAAAGGTATTGACATCATCCACAACAGTTTGTCGCTGAAGTGTTTCTGCGAAGGGGCTTTGAAAAGGGCACACAAGATCCATCTTTTCTTTTTTTGCTATGCATCCTGGAGGAAGGTGAGCACACTGATACCCCCGCTACCGAGATTCAGAATGAAAAACGAGAGATCTGACAAGGTTCTGTGATGTGCGGAAGAGAACTTAAGAAGATATAAATGTATGTTATACCTCGAATTTCGTCACGTAATGGCAATTTGATTGATCATCTGCTCTTGTATTGCAGATATTGTGATGCCCGAGACCGTTCAGACATAATAAAGATGGGGTACAAGAACTCACATTGCAGCCAATCGCCACATATATTGCCGAGAATACGGGGAATGGGGTGGAAGTCAGTATGGTATTATTGTCAAGTGATTTCGGAAAGTTGAATATACAGAAGGTAAAGAAAACAAAGACATCATCTTGTATGTCTCAGAGGGTGTCATTTTTTAAGTTCACTCGCGATCTTTGAGTAAGAGGTGAGATTAATTAAGATTACATAAATGAGATGAGATTCAACGTGATGGATGAGAAGCGAGAGGAACGCTAGCTATGTTGGTTGGGTTTGAGGTACGAAGTACTATAAATAGCAGTGAATGGATGGATCTCATAGCACAGCCTACAATTGCGAGATTTTTTTATTTAAATTCACGCTGGGGGAGGGAGAGGGCGATGGGATTGGAAGAGGGAAGCGCACGGGCCTTCACCCTCCAACTACTGATCTAATCTAATAAGCTTTAGGGAGTACCTCCTACGTTCTCGTGTTGCTCTATTCTGAAAAGCTTCAGACTCTGTGGGCGCAGCTTACACTCTAGTAACCACCAATGCCACCCTGAGAATGCAAGTGTGGCTTGGTAAGATTACATTCACCTAATGGTATATCCCTCGGATTAAAGGTGTGATGTTGGATTTGGAAGGGGCTGAGGACAAAACTTTATGTACCCTAGTCACAGCCATGAAGCTTTTTATAACTCTAATAACGACTAACAACAACTAGCAACGACAAACAGCAAAAGGATGAAAAGGCTATGTTCATCTAATTTAAGAGAGTTCCTAGGAAGAGTTTACTGAACTCATCCAAACCATCAGCTCTGGGAAAGTCCCTTCAGACTATCCCGCTTGCCAACATTTGGATAACTCGCATTCATCCATATATTCATACTCTAATAAACTGAAATCCGATAATGACCCTCGAAGTTACAATGTGCTTCATAAAGCTAGGTAAAACGTAGTAGGTATTTGAATCAAAAGCTCAATTGATGAAGTACCTGCAGTTCACGCTGTTACGCTGTTTGTTGTTACCCGGTACTCATCGGAGTGATCCGAGGTAAAAAAATGGATCAATAATCCCAAGAACCTATCACGATTGCCTTACTTGAGTGTCCTACTTGTCTTGTCAATGATTCCTCGACATGAAGGAGAAGCTGCGTTGTTCTCAGAACCAATTCTGAAAGGATATCATCAGTAGTTTCCCCTCCAATCTCTGGCAAACACGACTTACCTTCATATTGAAGCTTATAGAAAACAGGAGCTTCCTCATCACGGTGTAGCAAAATTGGAGCAGGTGGTCCTTCCCACTTAGACACTTTAAATTTCAATCCAACATGTTTCTCGGTATCGGTCCATAAGAGCCGTTTTGCACATTCCTCTGGGCTATCAATGTGCCTCTCATTCGCCTCAACACGATCCGTCAGCCAGTCTCTGAAAACTCTTATGACTCCCTCGCCGATGTTAACACAACTTAGAAATAAACCTCGTTTTGGACCAACTTTAACGATATTGGTGATGGTGCAAAGTTGCGAGAAAAGTTCATGTGACTCAAGATCGACGATTTGAGATACAAGCCCATCATCTGATTCTGGAAGAAGGGTCGGTCTAGCACTACCTGCCAGATGTCGTATTCTTTCTTCGGACTGAAGTGGCCTGAAGCGCGAATATAGACCGGCCATTTTACCTAATCTCCCTGTATTGTTGACATCTTTGTATATATCCCCCTCTCCCACAACGTCGTCACTTAGTCCGTCTGTGCCAAGATAATTGCACAAAGCATATGGAGTGATAAGTTTCGTAGAGGGATGAAAACATTCAAGGATCAATTCGTGATTCTTTAAAGACGCTGCCGCAATGAGGCGATGATGTATGATTCGGATTATGAGATGATGGAAACGATGGCAGGTACATGCGAGAGGAAGAAGTCGACGGGTAGAAAAGAGTGAAAGGACATTGATGAGGATCTTTGATATTGTTAGCCAGCTAGTTCATAGGGCTTGCCAAAATGAAACACTGACCTCATTAGGTAGTGAAGTAATTCCAGTGAAACTATCCACCATTTTGTTAACTTTTGAATGTCAAGTAGTATGCTGAAAGATGTATGATCTTGGCTAAATCGAAGCAAATTTATATATAACAAGCTCAACCCTTATATTCATCAGATATTTCGGATTCTGTGAAATTTGAGGGCAGGAAAGCACCAGATAAATACGAGAATCGTGGGTATGTCGGATGATATTGGATCAGGAGTAATAAATCCGATAGATCACCTTGAGGGGCAGTAGCCTTGAAACAATCTAGACTTTTCTTCAATCATATATATGCATTGTTCGGTGAGATGCAGATGCAGATGCAGATGCAATGAACTTGAATGATATTGGGCTGTTCTTTTCTCTGTCCCATGAGATGAGAGTGCGCGGTGGCACAGTGTCGTTTTGGGTGTAGAAATATAAAAGTGTATGCAATGTAACTTCTTCTAATTATTGGAAAAGATATCACTGAGAATGTACGAGTATGGCAGACGATAATGGTCATTAAAGAAAGCTTTGAATATCATGCCACGCCATATCATGTCATCATTTGTTAAATCACGTCGAATCCCTCTTGTTTCCGTAGTTAATAAGTCGAAAACAATGATGGAAGTGATAGGAGGTACCTTTCAATTCGATCGATAAGCGATCCCTGTCTTTCAATCTAAAAACGCGTTTGTTAATGCATGCCGAGACATGTCCACAAGTCACGTGACAGAATCGGCAAAGTGCACATGCTCGACATGATCTTGGAACAATTTCTGCTTTATAAGATTACAATCGTGCATCGTTTGGTTGACTAAATCTCGGAATAGAAATTGGGACTTGATAAAATGAGCACTCCCGCCCTGAAAATCTCTAACTGCTCTTCGATCACCACATATTCCATCGAGCAAAGATTTCTATACAACATGGGAAGTTTACTTCACTGGTAGTTAACCATCGCCAAATGTAAGGGGTCGGATCGGGTGAGAGGAACAATATTGATCTCGAACCTACCCAAAGACACTCCGGTCGAAAGAACCATGATTCGTGCCGCAGCTTCGAGCTTCCAAAAGATCTGACGAAAGGTGTCTTGCAAGTTGCTAATCAAGCCGTCCCCTGTTCGCCTCAATGGACTACACCACAATGAAATTATAGAATATTCTTGCTACCTGTCGTTTTATAAACTTTACGGTCTTCTTCATTACAAGCTAGTCGGCTTTACTCGAGTATTAAGATTCACTCAGAAAATCCAACCTGCAAATCAACGCACAGTAACCCTATAGCACATGTTGTCGTGACTAAGCCATGCTCTTTTCCATCTTTACCGTTTTATTCGTTTCTCGCCGTTTTTGCCCTTAGCACCATTTTCTGCACATATATCTATATACCATAGAGTCGAGAATATGGCAATCTACTTGAACATACTTTCTGGTGGGTTTCCACCTTCAACCTTCAAGGTTTTCTACAGGTTGCCCATGAGAATAGAAGTAGTAGCAAAGCATTGAATGAAGTCTCTCTTGAATGACAAGCAATCAGGGAACAGCACGCTTCACTCCCGCGAATTTTAATTATATGTCTCCTCAGCAATTCACTCACCATCAAACCATCACACCATCTTATCAACACATTCAAACACCAAGCATATCAAGGATATCAATTTTTGGAGTAGTTGAGAAAATGTTCGCCACTCAGCTAACATTTTTGATCATTCTACAGAAAAAGGCACACTTCATTCGCTATGTCTGAAGTGTACTGTTTCCCTTTTGCTGCCTTGGGGTCGGTGGAACTTTGCTGAAGAGATGAACCACTATCCTCGAGATGAGATATTCTGTTGGGATAGCGGCACGCCCAATCCCTTAGTGTCTTTCCCCAACCAACCAACTTTGGTTGCCCGATTCCAATTTTGGGCTTCCTATCCCAAGGGCCACGCCACAGATCCCGAGCCCTACTTGCCTGGACAAGTCCACGGACTTCACGGACCCAGCTATATTGACAATGGGCTATGCACCACGAGTCGAAAATGCAATCTTCGAAGCATTCAAAAGAACGGAATTACTAACTGCACGATGACATGTGGACCCGATGAGACTAGGGCCTTCAGAGGCCACCCACCGCATGTCCTCTGTCGAGGATTTACACAAATTGATTTTTATGGCGCGGAGGCGCAAAATCCGGCAAGGCAGAGGATGCAATGCAAAGCGAGACCCTTGGATTCCTCTCTGGCAGATCTACTCGCCTAAATGCCCATCATTGGAAGCCAATAAACCTTCAGCGTTACGACATCGCCTTCGTGGAAGTCATGTCACCCGACCTTCCCCTCACCAGAGAAAGCTACATAGCGGTAGACCGAGTCGCTCGCACAATCAATCAGACACTCAGAGTTCAGAAGAAGGGTGGTCCAGTTATTAACGTCAGATGTGAAAGTCGATCCAACTTCCGCTGGCCGAGCACTAGACATCGCCTTCCCGTAAACTTGAAGAATACAATAGAAGCACGCCTCTCTCGTGTTCCCCAGGTGGATTAAGAAAGAAAGGTTTGCTTTTGCCCACGAGATGTACAATGGAATCCTCACCACATGACCAACATTCTGGTTAAAAAGACCTTCCGCAAAGAGATTCGATGACGAATGAGAATGGAAGCACCTGGGACTCGTGAGTTTCATAACAGCAAACTCTGCGACTAGGATCTTTATGTGACGAGCATGGCGCTTCTACCTACATGTGGAATTCCGCAGAACAATCTCCTAATTGGGAACAAGAAACAAGCAAGGAAATAATGACCGATAATTGAGCCGCCCTCAGCCCGGATCCATTCAACGGGTTGATCTAGAATGAAAATAAAATTGCCTGAAATCCAGAACCTTTTGACAGTCGAGTGTGATATAAATCTGACATTGAAATATTTAAAGTAAAGGTAAAATGTCTGTCCAACAGTAACATACATTTGGAATGTGCAAAATCTCTTAGCTAATAGTATTGAGAAGCATTCGACTCCTGGTGGAGAACCTTGATCATTGTTACCATGCTCATGGCCCCTTAATATACCTCAGATGCATTACAAACTACTGCATCCCAATTCACTTATTATATATAGCCTCTTCTTCTCCCTCCCATCCAACTCGCCACTCATCCCATCCCCTTATCTGACATAGGATCCCCACTGCACTGACATCCAAATCAAAGTACCCGTTGACACGGCGACTGGTCCTGCTAATCCCTTGCCCATCTTCGTAGTGCCAAACACCCACCACTCTCCCATGAAATGTAACCACGCAACAAGAAATGTCGCATATCCCAATTGATATATTTGTGGGTTGCTAATATAATATGCGGTTTGAAGACGAACGACCGCAGTGAGAAGAGTCCATGTTCCAAATGTGCGTGAGGAGAGAGGTGTGGCAGATGTGGTTAGAGGGTAGGATTGGGAGGTACCTGGACTAAGTGGAGTATTGGATTTGGGGACGGCGTTATAGATTTGGGCGTTAAAGTGAAGAGTCAAATAGCATTGGACGGTGTTGAAAAGAGAGGTTACGGAGATCTAGAGTTGGATTAGTGCTGAGATGATACGTGAGGAAAGGATAGTGATACTCACGAAAAGAAGCCATTGGGGAAGTACACCTTCATGTTGAGGCAAGTACGGGGTGAGGGTAGTGAGGAAACTCATGTTGAGAAACCGTGTTTGAAGATCCGATCTTGTATGGGATTGAACAGTTTTTGTGCCGTGATAATGGGATCACGCCAATGTAAATCAAAGCCTGAGAAGAGTTCAGTCAGTACAAAGAAGTAAACAAAGAATAGAGTTCAAAGATCAGCCTTGTACAGGGGCCAGCGGGTTAGGAACTAAAGCTCGCGCGGTCCCGCACTATTGGCAAATCATGTTAGACATTGTTAGTGCCTCGAGTATCTCCAATAGTGAGATGGCTACGAGGCTACTCGGTGTTGTCGTAAACGAACGCCGGGCTGAAATTTAGCGGATTTCCTCACCAAAACTTAGTCCAAAGGCGTACCTATTTCTAATAAGTCCTGGGGGCCTCAACATTTCTCTCAATTGTCTTCCACTTCTTTTCATTCATTGACAATCGACAAAATGGTTCTCGATACTTTTCTGCCAAAGGCTGTCGTTACTGGACTTGCTGGCATTGGAGCTTTCATTGTCGCTGGCAAAGTCATTAGCTACATCCGGCTGCTGTTAAGTCTTTTTGTCCTTTCTGGAAAGAATGTAAGGATTCTCGATACTTGTTGTATCAACAGTTGTAATTTGGTCAAGTTGGCTAACATACCCCGAATAGCTTCGAACCTATGGAAAGAAAGGAACTTGGGCAGTAGTGACGGGTGCTTCTGATGGTCTCGGCAAAGAATATGCAATTCAACTGGCCCAAAAAGGATTCAATATCGTCCTTGTCTCCCGTACTGAATCGAAACTTCAAACTCTTGCCTCCGAAATTCAAACCAAATATGCCGGCTCGAATATCCAGACAAAGATTCTTGCCATGGATTTCGCTGCCAATAGGGATGAGGATTATGCAAAGTTGAAGGCTCTTGTCGATGGACTTGATGTAGGAATCTTGGTCAACAATGTTGGGCAAAGTCACAGCATTCCAGTGCCATTCATTCAGACACCAAAGGAGGAAATGAGAGATATCATTACCATCAACTGCACAGGTACACTTCGAGTTACTCAAATTGTAGCACCCGGAATGGTTCAACGCAAGCGCGGCTTGATCTTAACTATGGGTTCATTTGGTGGATGGTTACCAACTCCTTTACTGGCTACATACTCTGGAAGCAAGGCATTTTTACAACAATGGTCAACATCCCTTGGAGGTGAACTTAAGGGTACAGGCGTCGACGTCGAGTTAGTACTGAGCTACCTTGTTACGACCGCAATGAGCAAGATTCGACGTACCAGCATGTTTATTCCAAACCCAAGAACATTTGTCAAGACTACTCTGGCCAAGATTGGTAGAAGTGGAGGAGCTCAGCAGATTGCTTACACAAGTACACCATTTTGGGGCCATGCGTTAATGCAATGGTGGTTAGAGAATACCTTGGGAGTTGGAGGGTCGTTTGTGGTAGATCAAAATAAGGGTATGCACCAGAGTATCAGAACCAGAGCTTTGAAGAAAGCCGAAAGGGATGCTAAGAAGGCATGACTCAATAAACCAAAAGAGCTTTATCAGGCTGAGGAGTGAAACGAAGAGTGGAAGGCGAGCGGCGGATGAGCGAAATGCACAACTTGCTAGATGTCTTATGCTAGGAATTGGGAGAATTGGCTTCATGATGACAGTGAGGAACTCATGAGAAAGAACTATAGATTAAATCTTCTCTGACTGATTCGAGATAGATGAGAACAGTATATAATCGATATCAATATGACACAATACTCAACGTTTTGTATTGCGGGATAGACTTCAGATACCTTGAGCATTAAAAAGGGTTGTTTGATTGGAGATGATACTTCTATTCACTGATACCTCTACGGAGCGAGTCCTAATTGTAATGGTAATGACTTCCTCAAAAAAGTGAATTGTAAACAAGAAAGTCCTTCTTACGTTGAACCAAGGCTCTCAAGAATACGGCGTACAGCTATTCCATCCTACGTACCTATACACCTAGCTACCGGAGTTTTCTTATTTAATAAACATTTTCTCAATTTGTTATTTGTTACCTAAATTTGTAAAGCCGAATCTACCAAATCTCTATTGTTTTTTACCACCCGTCACGTGCCTTAGATAAATATTTATCCTGGAAGCTTCGACCGCGTCGCGAGGCTCATCTAGAGAGAGAGAGAGTTGTAGCTCTAAAACAGAAAAAAATATACAGCTGCAGGTATACAAATATAAACCTTGCCCTCGATCCATCCTCGAATTTCCACTATCATTTGCCTCCATCGCATAACTTCGAAGATTATCATATCATCACGACTCAATCGCTTTTTTCTTCATGAAGTTTTTCTAATCTCTAATTCCATCTTCTGCAAGATTCCTGCTCGCGACAGTATTTATTTAAAGATTGGTCGATTACCAGCCAAAGAAGGAAAAGGAAAAAAGAATGGCTCTACCAGGAACACCACAGAGACCTTTACCAGGTACATACTTCATGACACCTGCTCCTCCGAGATTCAATCAACCTCCTCCACCACAACCTCCTCTTTTTCGACCACCACAACCGCATGCTGGACGTGAGCCAACTCCACCTCGAGACGGCCCAATACCACCTCCAATTCAACCTCCAATTTTACCGCAACCCTTATTACCTATATCGCGAGCTGCGAAAACTATCAACGAAGTTCTGCAAAGAGAATCAAGCTTCCCTGATCTTGATAGCTATGTCAAGCGTGAGTTTACATTAGAGTTTGTGTGGGAGACACAGCTAACAGCTTCGCAGAGGGCATCTCGTCTGACTATGAACTTCCATCTCCCGTCTCCGATCCCGCCTGGGTTCCTTTCCAAAAGATGAGGATGTACGGTATTCCAGATACGATTTACGACCAATACAATAATGCTGCTTTCGGCACATCGATGGGGCTTTTTGCGGAGTTAAATCATGCATGGGCAGCTATCGACAACGCATTATACTTATGGGACTATACCAGTCCGAACCCAACACTGCGAGGATTTGAGGACCAACCAAATGGTATCAGAGCTGTGAAACTGGTGATACCGCGCAAAGGAGTTTTCATTGAAGCCATCACGCACATTGTGGTAGTCGCAACCACTCAAGATATTATTTTGTTGGGTGTTGCAGACGGAGTTGATGAGCATGGGAATAGAAATTTGGAGCTTTACAGAACCGGCATGACGCTCTCCATCAGAGGACTTGATGTCACAGTGATTGAAGGATCAACAGACACGGGGCGCATATTTTTCGCGGGAGGAGCTAACCAGGTCTACGAGCTTACATATCAAAATGAAGACAAATGGTTTTCAAATAAAACAGGAAAACTCAATCACACGAGTCCTGGATACACATCTTTGGTACCCATACCTTGGGGTCGCGCGACGACTGAGGTTGTGGTGGATATGGTTGTGGATGACACCCGTCGCTTGCTATATACTCTTTCCTCCGAATCAACCATTCGAACATTCCACATGGATAGCGCTACCACTTTGACACAAGTCATTGACAAGAAGCGACAAGATATCCTGAGAGATATTTCTCACATGATTTCGGCCTCGCCCCTCTTATCGTCCCACATGCGAATTGTTTCAATCAGTCCTATATCCGCAAAAGAAGGACTAAAGCTTCATCTTATGGCTACTACTACATCTGGATGCCGCTTGTTTCTCAGCGCTACTCGGGGATATGCTTACGGTTTCCAAACTGGCCAGGGAGCTCCACAAAGTATGCAGGTTCAACACATCAGATTTCCACCGAGGATTGATCGGCCGGGAACTAGACCTTATCCTGGACTCGAGCCAGCGATTGAGACAAGCTCTGATGCACTAGCACACACACGTAAAGGTCTTCGATACCCTCCAGGTTTCTTCTTCTGTTTTGTTTCCAAGGAGACCCGTGATGGAAGTGATGCACTTTTCCTGTCGGCTCCAGATACAGGTCGGATAGCAGCACAGGCACGAGAGATGGCCGCTCAACAAGGGTTGCGATATTGTGAATCGGCCTTTTGGCTGGAGATGGGCAGTCGTGCTGAGGCTATTGGTCTGGTGACAAAATCTTTCGCTGCCTCAGATCAACCCCTGGGCTTCGGAAATGAACTCGCAACTCAGTATGATCTTCCAACCCCGGAAATAGCAATTATGACAAATTCTGGGATTCATATCGTTCGACGCCGACGACTTGTAGACATTTTTGCCTCTGCAATTCGAAGTGGATTTGATGACGGAGAAACGGAGATTAAGAAATTCATTCGACAATATGGTAGAGGAGAAACGACCGCGACTGCTTTAGCCGTCGCGTGTGGACAGGGTGGGGATGCTTCAGTAGTCGGAGAGAGGAGGATAGCAGATCCAGACACAATTGAAGCTGCTAGAAGAGCGTTCGTTGAGCATGGTGGACGTGCATCTATGGATCAAAATATGGTTGTCGAGGGACCAACCCAAGCTATTGAAAACGTGCGGCCTTCCTCAAGACACGATGGGCTCGCTCTCTATATGGCTAGATTGGTCCGTGGTCTTTGGAAATCTCCGGTCATAAAAATGGAAATTACCAAGGAGGTGGTTGCTATAAAACCAACAATTGATAAAAAGAAGCTAGGTGCTGTTCAAGATGAACTTATGAAATTGTCAAAGTTCTTGGAAGACAACAAGACATTCATTGAGGGGCTGTCTGGGCCCGAGGGTCTTAATCGTGTCACAAGTCAACAAGAGGATCTTGCTCTGCAGGGCGAACATCAAGCATTGCATTCACTGCAAATTCTTAACACGAGCATTGTGGAAGGAATCTCTTTTGTGCAAATGTTCTTCGAAGAACGAGTCGATGACATTTGGGCTGCGTTAGATGATACAGCGAAGCAACAGCTCCGAGACCTAACATTTGAACTATTATTCTCTACTGACAATGGCAAAAACTTGGCAAAATTGTTGGTGAAGGAGATTGTGAATCGTAACATTGCCCAAGGCTCAAATGTCGATACAGTCGCCGAGGCTCTCCGAAGACGCTGTGGTACTTTCTGTAGTCCTGACGATGTCATTATTTTCAGGGCCCAAGAACAGTTGCAACGAGCGACCAGCGTCGGACCTTCATCTGATCACGGAAGGGCACTTCTCAATGAGAGTGTTCGATTATTTCAGGAAGTCGCTGGTGTTTTATCTCATGACAATTTGTACAACGCTTGTGCTCAATTTTCCGCCAACAAATTCTATGCTGGCGCGATCAGCCTGGCACTACTTGTTGCTCACGAATCCGATCGAGGCAACAAAGCTTTGTCGTGGCTTAATGATGGAAGGCCTGCCGACGACCATCGAGCGAGTTTCTTCGAGTTCCGCAAAGACTGTTATAATATCGTGAAAGAGATTTTAACTGCTGTCGACAACGACACTGGGAACGCACCGGAAATGGTTGATGGTAGACAAACCACCCAAGCTAGAATGCGCGAAGAAGCACATCAAGTTGTTGATGAGTCTGACGACGAGGTCTTTCAATACGACCTATTTGATTGGTACCTTGAACAAGGCTGGACGGAGAGAATTATTGCCACAGATTCGCCGTTCATCGTTAAATATCTTGAGCGAACTGCCAGCGAAAGCACGGAAAATTCCGACTTGCTGTGGAAATACTACGTTCACCGAGAAGATTACTCTTCCGCTGCTGGTGTACAGCTTACATTGGCTAAGAGTGAACTTCCCATATCCTTGCAAAGGAGAATCGAATACTTAAGTAGAGCCAAGGCAAATGCTCAAACACAAGGCGGTGCTATCCACAGACAGGCGCGACAGATCATGCTGCATGAGGCTGGTGAATTGCTGGACGTTGCTAGTATTCAACATGAATTGTTGCAACGCTTGAGAGCTGATCCTAGAATTCCTCAAGCACGTAAAGATTCCGTGGTTCAAGATCTCGACGGCGCCATTCAACCACTCTCTGTCGTAAGTTTCCGCCCCCGTCCTCGCTTGCTTGCACATTGCTAACATCTTCTAGCTTTTCAATGAATATGCCGACCAAGGCCAATACTATGATATTTGTCTTCAAATATTTGCAGCTGCCAATCATCACAACCAGGCTGATATTCGGACTATGTGGGAACAGCTTCTGCAGTCAATACAGGCCCGTGTAGAAGAAGACCCGCAAGCACAAACTGAACGTCCTTATGAAGCTATCGTAAACATCATCCGTGAAATGTCGCAAAAGCTTTCTGGATATGAAATCGTCTTCTCTCCTAGCATTCTCATCCCCCTCGTCGAAACTTACGCAGCTGAACACGCCCATCCAGGCCCTACAAATTGGGTCCCAGATTTGTTTATTAGTGTGTCCTTCGACTTTGACACAATAATCAACATCTTAGAAGGAATGTTTTACAATGAAGTCAACCCATTTGTTGGGGCAAATAGGATAGTTCTCGCAAATCACATTGTGTATTCGGCGGAGCAATGGTACGAGGACTGTATTAGACACAATAAAAGGGTCTTTGGAGGCGAGGTGCAGCAAGATCAAATTGGACAGATTTTGGCCGAGTTGGGCGCGGCTGCCTATAGAGATGATCCAGTTGGGAGACAGAGAATCATGGAGTTGAGAAGGAGGATTGGGTTGGGGGGATTACGATGAGAGAAGAATGAGAATTATCATGCGATCGGGACGAAGCCAAGGAGAAGAAACTTGTAATTGGAAAATGAAAACAAGTGCGGGGCAATTTTTAACAAAAGCCCATTGCCGAGAATGGCATTTGTAGGCATAAATTGGGCATTAAGCTAGGAGTTGGGGGAATTTGTTTGTTTTGATACTAAGTGGGGGAAGCAGTTCGATCTTGCTGAAATCATCGACAGGTGTGTAGACGGGAAACTTACGCCATCGACAGTGGTCCGATGTACTGAAAGTAGGGTTTCATGAGGGAAAGCGATGAAGATCCATGGATGCTGTGCTTGTAATTTATAGATGATTGGTGCGTGTTGCTTGGTAATGTTATTGTGATGATCAATGGTGAAAAGTAACAAGGGAGTGAAAAGCTAGTTTCAGTTAGGTAGTTGTCGATAGAGGAGGAGAGAATGAAATGAATGGATACCATGATATATATATACGTTGAATACGTTGACTTGGACTAAAGCGCTTGGTATTGTTTAGTCGTAATTAAGGTATGAGCATAAGCGACTCGGACATGGCAGATGTAGAAATACGTGAAATGAAAAATCACGTTTAGATTTAGAGAACGATTTGTAAATGAATAGACCGAGTTTTTAGAGGAGTGAGGGGGTTGCTCAAATATATTAGGTGTGGAATTCTAATGTAAATCTAGAGTCCAAGGACCAAAGTAATAGTGATACGTGATCTTGGTGATGGGAATGAAGGTGGCATGAATTATTCCATTTCAGTAATGAGTTCCAACGTGATGCGAGATAAAGTCACTGAACAGTTGAGATTAGTTGACTAATAAGTTTTCCGTTCCAAACGTGCTTTAGCATACTTCTTTAGTCCTGTTTGACACAAGAGAGCTATTTTAGGTGGCATGGTTCTTGCTGAGACTCCTAGAGTTTGGCTTGTAACCGAAAATGAAGCGGCCAATTCTTGGGAAGGGGGAAGGACTTGGGGTGCGTTCGGATCACTTTTTTGAAATTATTAGAGCTCAATTATTAATCAATTTTATTTATCAAATAATCCAAATAACTTTAAATATTTTATTAGAGTATATATATTATTCGAATTAGAAAAAATTATATAAAAAATTATCTCAATATTTGAAATTTGATGAGTTATTAGAAATCCTAATAAATTTCAATTTTTAATATATTTGATTTGATATAGTATTCAATAAATATTAATATATTTGAATAATATTTGGATTATGTGTTATATATTTTATTTGAATAATAATAAAAGTTGAAGATGATATGATTTGATGATAGTGATAGTAAGGTGTAGTATGTTACGACAGACATCACATAACACACTCGCGTATCATATGAGGGAGCTTTGGGGAGCTACGAGCTCTAGGAGCATACGGATCCTAAAGGCTCCAGATAATGAAGGTCTATATAACAAATGAGTTTTATTAGGATATAAAGCTTCATGCTCAAGAACAATCATTAGTTTTATTATTATAGTTATGAGAATTGTAATTAATTATTAGCCTTATTGAATTCCTATTTGAAGCTTAATTTAAACCATCTCGAGAGAACTCTAGACACTTCCACGTGACCCTAGAGGCAGCTCCCGTAACATAGTAGTAATAGTGAAATATAATAATAAAGAGAGAATAATAATAAAGGGGTAAAAAGAGGGGTTAGGTAATAGGATTTTTATAAAAGTAATATAATTAGAAATAATTAGAAATATTAGAAAAATGTTTCGAGATATTACTTTTCTTTTAAATATTAGTTGTAAAGCTTGAAAATTAAGCTTTATAATTATTATATAGGAAAAGCTCAAAATATTTATGAAATAATTATTTAGATTTAAATAATTCTTAATAATTTATTTTATTATATATTATATTTAGTAAATGCTGTTATTTAATAAATAAATGAAATTAAATAATTTCAAATAATTTTTCAAATTCTTAAATCCGAAATAAATATTTCATTATATATTGTATTTGATAAATGTATTATTTTATATTATTTACTAAATAAATGTTGTCTAATAATTGAAATAAAGTGATCCGAACGTATTCTTAATGGGATTAATTGTACCAATCTTCGTGTACTTGTCTCGAACCATTATTCTTCAAATAGGGTTCGAGGAAATTTCAGTAAATAGAGGAGTATTGTATTGTATCTAAAGTTTATGGCCCCTAAATATAGTGAAAACGTACAAAACATAGGTGAAGAAGTTGATGTAGCGCTGGAAACCTAGTTTGTCTAAATTCTATGTAAGTTTAGTGATGGGAATGGGATTTTCATCGTTTTTGAGAGTCAAATTGAATGAAGATCACAGTTCGGCAGTGAATGGCTTACATGACTGCCGACATATCCCAGCTGGAGGCTTGCGTAAAGGAACAAAGATGATAGAGCCTTACCCGCGTTTGAATAATAAACGGCTTTCGACATTGGAACTGCTGCATGGACAATTGAGGACACTGGCTTCGATACTGCACTTTAGGACTTGATTTGCTCTGTCGGTTTACAGTTTCAAGGGCTGATTTGAGGAGTAACCCGTGCTCCAATGCCGAGGTCACATATCTCGTGATAAATTGATACTGAATTGCGAACTTGTAGCAATTATTCCTATAAAATAGACGGGGGTATATGACGAACAAAATGACAAATGGAGAAGCAGATACTATATAAAACGATTAAAGCCCACCAATCATTCATACAAGACTTTCGGTACTGCTACCGCTTTTTCTGACTGGCTTTCCGTTCTTCACAGACAAACTATCATGCCACTTCACCTCGGTTTCTGTCCTCACTGCGATTCCCATCCGACTTTCGCGCAATCCATCCCCCTTTCCGTGACCGAACTCCACATCAGTGACATCACTCATTTTATCATAGTCTCCTTCTATATCGCCGGCCACAATATCTGTAGTATGATTCGCAGTTCTCCTACTCATTTCGTAACCTTCTGGGCGGCGGCCTGTTCTTCCCTGTCCATATCCTTCGGTAGAATTTTTTTGACTCCGCGAACGATCACTTTCTCCGAAAATTTTGGGGATGATGCGCACAAAGATGGGTTTGAGTGCGGGCGCACACGCGCAAACAAATGATAAGCCGACTTCAATTGTTGTGATACAGAAAAGAAGAGAATATGTGATATCTGCAGGAGGGTTGCGATCGAAAGAATCGAGAAGGATGATCCGAATAATACCAATAATAACAGTTCTGTGGCAGTGTGTTAAAAAATTCGGCTTGCCGAGAGTTACGGTGAGAAATGGATGGTTACTCACATAAGACCAAATGACAATATAGCAACAAGCATCAACTTTTGCCTCCGTGAGATCTGTAGATTGTAGACAATCCATGTTGGCATTAACAAAGCCAGCATATCGGTCAAAACACTGACACTTGCTGTCCCGGTTACAAAGTTTGCAAAATTCATGCAGACAGCATCAGGGTACAAGGCAGGGTACCAGTTTGCAGCAATAGGAACGCAATGGAAAGTAGTGAGAAGGAATGTGACAACCATCATGACGCCATTGAAGATCAAAAGGCCGATGATCGTTAGTCTGACATTGGATTTTTGGCCGGTGAGGCGAAGTAGAAAGAGAAGGATGGAGGTTTTCACGAGAGCCAAGATGGGATTGTAGATAAGTTCGGTCTGGAATAATCAGTAATAAGCAATGAGAGATATTCGTACCAAAAACTCACCGCGTAGCCATATTTTGCGCCGGGCACAGAGTCCCAATCCACTGGGAGATCCCATATGTGTATGCCAATATAATTGTATTTTATCACTACTAGCTGTTAGAAGGGTGAGGTCGGTGAAGAAAGAGCTTTACCTTTGTATGAAGTATATGTCTCCGACCAGTAAACGATCTAGAAAGGAAGAAGTTTAGTGGAAGATCTTGCTGTTAATCCCCCCCCCCAGCATCAGAGCCTGCCCAGATCGCAAGGTCGATCAAGAGCTCAACTGTCGAACCCATGAGAGTCTTTTGCAGAATGGCACTACTATGGCCTGCGAACTGTGGATTAAACTCACCAGAGCAAAGCAAATGACCCAATCATCTGCACCGGGTTAGCCACGATTGTATTCAAAGTATTCATCCTCAGAAAAATGAGCGTAACTGATTGCAACTACATACCTGCAGCAAATGATCTAGTCAAAGATCTACTATACAATCGTAAAAAGAGGGCAAATGTCGCAATGGCCGGAAAAACAAAAGTGATGGCGAATGCCTGGGCTTGACGGTTATCGTGAGGAAGATCCGCAACAGCAGCAGCACTGGTAGCCATGTTGTGGTCGGTGAACCAGTCACAATTCCACCCCGGGGTTCATGTACAAGAAAGTGGAATGCAAACGACAATGGACCACCCTCACTGATACGATTGAGAAGAGAACGATAATTGAACATCAAAAAATGGGACCAAACACAACGCGCGACAAACAGGCAATTATATTATGGTAAGTCAATCAGTAGATGCAAATCAATGCAACCGAGGGTCCATCACCACATGGCAATTCAAGGATTGAAAAGTTCAGTGCAAAAACCAAACCCAGTCAAAGGGATTTAGAAGGAAAGGTCGAAAAAAAGGCAGAAAGTTAAAACGAGGTATTGAGTTTTCAACTTCACCAGGGTTTTGACAATTAACGAGTCAAATTTTATGAGGAATGAAACGGATCGGTATGTTGTCTATGCTATGGAAGGTCTGATTGGTCTGATTTACCTGTATGAATACTGCTATCCCTGATGGAGCAATGACACTGTATGTGCAACAGCAATAGTATGGATCTTCTTGAGCTTCGTCGTACCCGAGCATTATGACTAGGCCGAATTTGTGTTCTTTACATTCGTACCCAGGAACTTGGGTAGAGAAAGGCAATCCCCGCTCCAGGTCAAGCCAGGGGTATGGAACACGGAAGAAATTCTTGTGGAGTGCTGTGCCTTTTGATTGCATCGCCGGTTTGAACTTGAAGTTTGCGATTGTGTGACAAAGGGCAAAGATGGGGTGGGCGAGTGCCTAGAGGCTGAGGGGATTAGGGAAGTTGGAGACGGCACCGAGGGAGCAGCCAGTAGCAATCGGTGCAAGTCCTAAATATACAAGGTGTTCCACGCGGTGATTGAGTTCAGAATCAGCAACCCCCCTTTCCTCCTGCATTCTTTTATTCCCGTTCTAACATCTACCGACTGTGACAGTGCACTGCACACACACACACACACATGCAGTGTGAAGTACAGGTTCTGTTCGTATAAGAAGTTACCAAGTGAGGAGGAATAAAAAGCCACAATATGTAGCGTAACGGCATCGTTGAAAGGCGGGGTTTTGCGTATCATTTCTTTTCATGCGCTGATGCCATGTGTTTCTGAAGTTTGTAGAGAGTAACGTTACGGTACCGAGTTCTGTGCCATAAAGATATTGATGTCAACGCAGCGAGTCCAGCTCCAGTCAATGTATTGTGAGATTACTTATGTAGCTAATTCTGTTCTTAGTTTTACTCTAGAATTGATCGAAAGGGCTAGACTTGGATCAATTCCAGGATCTACGTAACGCCTTAGCAAGTACAGGTACTAGTACGATGTGGTTGGTCTATTACCCAAGTCTATATATTTATCAGTAATGACTTTAAACCAATCACGGAAAAATATGTTTATCATTGACAAGAATTTACCTCCATCTGATGATCAGCTGGGGATGATTTTCGTAAATGGGGCTTCCCGCGATATAGCCTCGAGATAGCAAAATACTACTTCGTACTAGTCGTAG